GTCGTTGATCCATGCCGATGCTTCGTTTTGAGAAGTTCTTCAAATGAGATGGCCCCGGAAACATGAAGGTGGAGAAGGCACGCCTCCAGAACATGGTAGAAGACCACAACCTTCTAAGCTTCTCTGCCTATTACCTGGAACAGCATGTTTATTCAGCTTTGTGAGAGAGTCAGCCATGTTAATTAAATGGAGAATTTTCAGGTGCAATCTGAAACCCTGAATGCCAGAGTTAATATCGTTTAAAGGTTATCCTAAGCAGCCATGGGTGCATTCTTTATTATATTTAGTCTTTGCATCGTTTAAGCCCATAGCTTCCTTCATTCTCCAGGATGAACTGGTGCTGTATATAAGAGCTGTATAAACAGCGCTGAAAATACCCAGAAGAAAGTAAGATGGGTGCCATGTAATCCCATCTAGCTGCATATGTGAACCTTCTAGACATTGTATTCTAAAAGTTGCCTGTAGCAGTGGTCTCCAACCTTGGGCCTCCAGATGTTCTTGGACTTCAACTCCCAGAAATCCTGGCCAGCAGAGGTGGTGGTGAAGGCTTCTGGGACTTGTAGTCAAAGAACATCTGGAGGCCCAAGGTTGGGGACCACTGGCCTATAGAGTTAGGCATGCATTCTGACACATTGGAATGTAGTTCTCTTGTGGGTCTACTACAAACTGAAACACTGCGGCCTATGTTGGTCCACATATGGAGCAGATACATCTCAAGATATTATAAATAAAGATTTATTTGCTTTAGAAGCCCTGAGAGTTTCAGATCAACAATATCCGAAGGTGTTCTTCAAGGTAATATAAGCATGCATAAAGGACAATGTATGGATATACCCACATAAAGCACAATGACATATTGTACAAAAACATTTCATTATTTTTACATTGCATTGTATAGCTTGTAATCATCATCGAGTCAATACTGACTTGTGGCAACCCCTTCCAGGAGTTTCAAGGTAGAGAGCACTCAGAAGTTTACCATTCACTTCTTACGGGGACATCTTGCAAAAGTGCAATGTGCCCAAGGCCACATAGGCTGGCTCTTCTGAGATGCATTGTGATGAACTGAACTTCCAGCTTCTGGTTCTACAGCCAGATACCTAAACAATTGTGCTATCCAACCAGCTAGTACACATTTAGGTACAGATTTTAAAAATAATATTATCCCATAGTAAAATGATGTAAAAATAAAATGCCTTTTATGCTTAAGAGGGCTTCCAGATACTATTAGTTTTGAAATACAGCTCTGAGATATATTGTTTTATAAGACATTTAAGATTCGTAAGGCATCTCTGGGTGTTAAACTGAGTCTTGAATAGCATGTCCTTTATCCTTCGTGGGCATGTTGTGGCACAGACAGGTATATGCCAAATGCATACCCAGAGTGTATATGTTGTGCATGATATATACATGTATAAGGTACAAAATGCACCTACATATAGTATATGTTTCTAGCTGAAATCCTGGTATGTAAATTATTTCTGCAGAAGGGTGTTAACATCACCAGTGGAGGGCAATTTTCAGCAGTTAAATTTTATCCCCTGGCTTTTTCCACACCTGTGCAGTTCCTTTCATCACATAGAAGCCACCCCCCTGGCTTTTTCCACACCTGTGCAGTTCTTTTCATCACATAGAAGCCACGGGATGGAAGGAGGAAGTCTTTAATTATTGAAAATCACTGTCATTAAATAACATTACCAGAAGGGGAGATTTTTGGTAATTAAAGACCTTCTCCTTCTGTCCCATAGCTTCTGTGACTTCCATGTGATGAAGGGAACAACACAAGAATCGGAAAAGCTGTGGGACACAAGGAGGACTTTTTTTAGCTACTAAAAATTGACCCCCGACAGTGATGTCATCACCCTTCTGCAGATGTTAAGTTATGCAACAGGATTTCAGCTTCTATGCATTTGAATATGTGCCTATACTTGCTAACTGTCTTCAGAAGTGCCAGTAAAAAGAATAAATGTCAAGCTATGATCAAAAGGATTATTTTTTTAAAGATTTCCATGAAAGATCAGATTGTATTTGTTTAAAATGCTTTGGAGAAACTTTGGGTGACTGTCCTGTGTCCAAGAGTTGGTTAGCTGGTGCATAGATTTTAAGTTTGAAATCTGTTTCTTACGACCAGTTTCACTCTGATCTAATAAAAATCTCTGTGTAGGGTCTAAAATCTGGCTGAGATTTATTGACAATGTAGTTGCCCTTTGGCAATGCAGCAAGCCCCAAGGGTTTGTATGCTAGATTGCTAGAATCCTACTTTGCATTTGGATTTTTTTTTTAAAACAGTTGAGCGAAGTCTGCTAAGTCAAATGAATAATTAGAAACACATGGTGTTATAATGTTGCATGTTACTCTGTGTTGGTGTGCAACATTTCATATTGTTTTTATAGGGGTGTGCAAACTCTCTCATGCAAGAGTAGGGTGATAACTCTCTCATGGCCCAATAAAAGAAAGCCAATGGCATATCAGAAAGATTTACTTGAACACCAAATTGTGCACATCTTGCCATTGACTCGATGTATCGTTTCTGATTTCTGCTCTTCCATTTTCCTCTTCTGCAGTTCCTATCACAGTTCAAAATAAGGTTCCAGTTCTTCACATTACCTGACACTTTCTGATGTTTTGAACTTGCCCCATAACCCTGAGGTCTTGACTTTTTCATCTTTGTTTTTTATGAGAGGCCAAAGGAAAAAAAAAGGAATTAGATTCACCAATGCCTGGTTATTTTTGATTCAGTGAATTCCATTAAAAATCACATGGCTATTTGAAACACTGTTTGTATTCCCACCTAGGAGATGGTTGGCAATGGCAGTATCCATGTGAGGTGTTGTGTCTGGGTCTCTTCCTGTACCCCAAAAACATAGGTGGAGACCTCCTGGCAGCTGGAGCTTGCAAAAGGGATGAGATTTCATCCCCAGCTCCCGTTCCCCTCTGCCATGGCTTTTGGCAGTTTGGACACCACACTAATTTTTCCCCATCCTCAAAGAAATTAAAATGTCCACTATTCTGCGTTGGTTTTGGCTCAAGCATTAAACGTTTTCCAATTTTTTGCTTTCTTTAACTAGATTTATCCCACTTCTGCACCCCAAATTTGCTTCCATGAGATTGACACTTCATTTTATTTAGCTCATTTGGAGAAAAAATGTAGAAAGATCCTTCAATGAGCAATATCCTGTGTTAAGAGGAACAGCTAGCCTACCAGTTTAGAATGGCTCTTTCCAGTTGAATCATTTTGGCCCAAAAGTTACTTATCCACCCAGGACAGAATATCCTGAGACTCCTAAAGCAACATGTGATTAAGATACCATGAGCAACTTAGAGGAGATCAAGAGGTCTTCATAAAGCTATGTCACCAAATGCTCTTGTTGTGGTCCATGCTTCTTGGCCAGGGCCAAGATGAAAATCAAAATGGAAATGAAGACAATTGTGTCAAAGAGATTGGGGATACTTCTTGTCATCCCCCCCAAATGTATGAGATGTGTTTCTGCATTTATTTCAGCAGGGTAATGCAACCTTATTTCTTGATGATCCACAGTAAGGACAGCAGGTGGTTCTGGAAAAATCCAGGGGAGCAAAAGGACTGCACAGACACTTGTTGCTTGCCCATATTTAGTGCAGTGCAAATGAACAAAATAGCTGGTGACATTGTGAAAAACAGCTCTTGGACTGGCCCTTATGTTTCTGGAGTCATGGGTGAACAGAGGGACACTTTTCAAGCTGGCTTGAGTTTTACCCCATAATCTTGGGGTTGCATGGGAACTCTGAACTACGATGGCCTTCTTCAATAAAAGGTGTCCATCTGGCATCAGCTGTAGGTTTTTTAATTCTTACTAAGTCCTGGGTAGTTCACCATTTATGGCACTGATTATGAGATTTGGGATACCTGCCTTGTTTTGACCTTGTATTCTGACAGCCCCCTTCTTTAAGTCGGGGACTGGCCCAACACTAAACATGCAACTGACATCTTGTTAATTAGCTGCAATTCATCATGATGACATAATGTCATTTCACTGAATCATAATAATTAAGTTGATTCAGTCAGGTTGATTCTGACGTACATTGCTGTTTGTCAAGGTTTTCTGGGTATAGAATACTCCCAAGTGGTCTACCATTCCCTTTTTCTAGGGGTGCCCTGGAACTACAAAGCTTTCCCAAGGATAGCTAGACTGCTTCTGCTCCCAGAGGCTACACTCAGGAATCAAACTCCCAACCTCTGTTTCTGAGCCAATACCTAATGCACTCAGTCATCCAGTCAGAGCAAATCCAACATGCTCTAGACCAAAATCCTGATAAGATTCTGTCCACCACCTTCAAGTGGATATGTTTGAATCAACATTCAGTATGTTTCATATTTTTAATAGACTGCCTAATTGCCTATTTACTAAATGTGTATGAGAAAACAAAAGGCTTATGTGGTCATTTTTAATAGACTGCCTAATTGCCTATTTGCTAAATGTATGAGACAAAAACAGGCATATGTGGTCACACCTACCCTATTTCCCCAAAAATAAGACCTCACATGAAAATAAGCCCTAGTGCAATTTTTCAGGATGCTCGTAATATAAGCCTTACCCCCCAAAATAAGCCCTAGTTAAGTAAAACTCCACCCTCCACCACTGTGCACTATTGTGCAGCAACCAGAAAATATGATATGACTGTATTTGGATAAATGCAGACTGTTGAACATGAAAAAAAAAATCCCCTGAAAATAAGCCCTAATGTGTTTTTTGGAGCAAAAATTAATATAAGACTCTGTCTTATTTTCAGGGAAACACGGTATAACATCTGTACGTCTTCTTCCAGCAATTACTGAATCATCATAGCTATGTGGTGCTCTTAATTTAAAAACAGAAAACAAGGGAAACAACTTTAGTGCAATTGTGTTTTTCTTTTATTTTTGCAAAGCATTTGCCATCCTCCAACAACATCAAGAAGGCAATTCTTCTTGCCTGTAGCCTTTCATTACAAAAGGCAACAAAATCAGTTAATTTTACAGAATGTATCTAAATTGTGCTACTATTATTTGTGATTCTTTTTTTCCATTTAATTAGCTTGGAGTGGCAGGCCGGAATGCGAAAGCAGGTTCCGTTCATTGGTGTGGTCCAGAAATATCAGTAGATCATGCCATTCATGTCCCTAGAAAGAAGAATTTAAAAAATAATATCAGAAATATTGCTAAGGAACTAGAGATGTCTTATTCTGAAAATATTACATATTAATTTGCTTCCAGGAAATTTGGGTTAGTCTAATACTGGGTGTATTCCAATCCTACTGTATTCCATGCATGTACTCATGTTCCCCAATGGAGTGTATTTTGATAAATATGTGATAAGGTAATACGGTGAAAGCCATTTTAGATGGCTTTGGAAGGAAGCTAGACAGATTTATGGAAGATAAGTCTGTCTATGGTTATTAGTTATGGTCACAAAAGGGACAGCATCACTTTGAACATCAGTCATTAAAGAACTACAGTGAGAGAAAATTATTGTCTCACTGACCAGTTTGTATGTATACAAAAAAAAACTAAGTTCAGCTCCATAAACAGAATTTGAAAATGTGTGATTTTTAATGTCCCCCAGAAAGTCTACGTGTTCCTGTTGTCCAGTTTACAAAAACTTTGTAAATTTCAGCTGCATCAAGGAAAGCAATGAATCCTCTCAGTCCAGGTTCAGCTCTCCTCAAATATAATTATTATGATCATCATCATCATCTTAGAACAGCGGAGCTGGAAGGGACCCTATGGATCATCCAACCCAGCCCCTGTGAAGGGGCCAGATGCCTAAAGCACTTTGCTATAATGTTTCAATATTTTAAATAGTTTTACTCCCTTAAAATGAGCCAAGGGGGCTTACATCATTAAAAGGAAAATATTTAAAAGCTTTTTAAAAAATTGCTTTCTTCCTTCAGCAAAGCTCACATTGTGTGCTGGCCTATCTAAGATTCTCTAATTTAATTTGGCTTTACCCCCCCAAAAAAAATCAGTCTAAAGACCAATGCATGTCAATATTTGTGTAGTACACATAGGAGTAGAAGGAGACAGACCAACACAATCCAGCCCAACAAAAATTCCTTGTGTAGTCTGCTATTGGCAAAACTATCATTATTATCATCTTAAAACTGCAGAGCAGGAAACCCTATGGATCAGCACGTCCAGCCTCTGTCAATGAGGCCCAGGGAGGAACTGAACTGCCAACCTCTAGCTCTACTAGAGACTTAAACCAGTAAGCTGTCCAGCAGTTAAAAGAAAATGTTCTAATATACTTTCCATATCAGTAAATGTACTCTTAGTACTCACCAGATTATGCGACAGAACTAACGACCTGAAAAAAGAGAAAGCAGGACATTAATTCTGTTTTGTATCTCCCAAGAGCCAAAGCAATGTAAAAAATAGAAGTTTCCATTTCTTTAGTAGAATTAGGTGTCAGTGAATACGTATCAAGTAAATATTCTTCAGAAGAATACTATTTAATGTTTAGTCTTAGAAATTATTATTATCATCATCATCTTAGGAATGCAAAGCTGGAAGGGACTATCAAATTCGTGATCTCGGACAGCAAGATACCTAAACCACTGAGTGGGAATGAACCTTGTAAGATGCCTTGAGCACTACTTTGCAGTGAAGAGGCGGGTTATTAATGTAATAAATAAGTTTAAGGATAAGGATAAGGATAAAACTTTTGGATATCATCTAAGGGGAAATAATAAGTGGAACAAGATTTCAATTTTTACACCTTATTTACAGATGCTGATTACAAAAGTAAGTACTAAGCCACAAGAATAATTAGTCTGCAGTCCTCAAGAGGTAGCACACCTTATAACTCTCATGCAAGTGCTGCACAAAGAAGTAGACAATCAAAACTTGTATCAGTATATTTGAAACAAGGTTTACTCCAAACAAGAAAATGAAGGCATGCGAGCTTTACTGCCCCAGATATTCAGAAAGGTGCTAGAAGGAGAAATGATTATCACAGGCAACAGAGGAATGCTTCCACTCTCAACCAACAGCGAAGGAAACCAGCCGATCTCAGGTTAAATGGCTTCTTTTTTGGAGCAGAGCTGTGGTGTAAATATTCCTGAGCCTCTTCTTCTATACCACACATTGTGTTTGTTATGTCACTACAGTACTGAGGGAAACCCCAACGTTGGGCCTCCAGATGTTCTTGGACTACAACCCCCAGAAGCCTTCACCACCACCTCTGCTGGTCAGGATTTCTGGGAGTTGAAGTCCAATAACATCTGGAGGCCTAAGGTTGGGGACCACTGCTCTATACCACACATTGTGTTTGTTATGTCACTACAGTACTGAGGGAAACCTCTCAAGGTCCAAATGTTCCTGGATTCACCCATTTTTTTGGAAGAGGAAATCCACAGTGTAATCTTGGAGTTATCAGGAGTTCAGTCCTCCACCAAAAAACGAAAACATACACAGAGATATTCTGAACACTTCTTCTAAAATAGAGCAAACACTATCATTTGGTCAATTTGGAAGAGGAAATCCACAGTGTAATCTTGGAGTTATCAGGAGTTCAGTCCTCCACCAAAAAATGAAAACATACACAGAGATATTCTGAAAACTTTCTTCTAACACAGAGCAAACACTATCATTCGGTCAAAGAGAGTAGCGTAAAGGAATTGTACAACACAGCCATTGATACACAGTTGTCCCATTTGGTGTTTACTTGGGATGAAAGGGCACTAGCTTTGTGGCCTTGCTATAAGGATCTAGTTGTTTCCAGATTAAAGTTTAATATGGATGCAGGACTAAGGATAAAGGTAACCCCATGGATCTTTAACATTCAGAAGGACCAGATTTTTTTTTGCATATTTTTGATAAATCAGCCAGTCTTCTGGTGCTTGAAATGTATGCACTTTGCATCACAAAGGAAAAGGACAGCCTATACCTGTCATAGAAGTGACTGGGCAACGATGGGACTATCAATTACAACACCGAAGTACAGGAAAGGAAAAGAAAGAAGATAACAGAAGAGGGTCCACTCAATCCAGACCTCCATGCATATTCTGTTGTGAATGATTCAAATTGCAAATGTTTCTGTTGCAATCTCCTCATCAGTTGAGTAATTATCAATACTCACTTGCACACTGCTGGGAACACGACTAACCTAAAAAAACGAGAAAGAAGCAGTGATTCGTCTTTTTGCAGGGAAAGCAGGAAAATAGTTTGCATTTGGAGATTGCCCAGAAAGAAGTCGTAATCTCCTCATCAGTTGAGTAATTATCAATACTCACTTGTAAATTGCCAGGAAAACCACCAGCCTAAAAAACAAGAAAGAAGCAGTGATTCGTCTTTTTGCAGGGAAAGCAGGAAAATAGTTTGCATTTGGAGATTGCCCAGAGAGAAGAGGCTTAGTCAGGGAGGCAGTGAAGGCTCTCAGTCTACTTCCAGCTCATCCCAAAGATAAGGCTTGCTTTTTCTGCTTTGATTAAACTCATAGCACCAGCAGACCCATCTAGGACTCTCCAAATTTTAAGTTGGCTTTTTCAGAGGAGATGAAGCAGAATCAGTTTAAACACAAATGGCTGGTAACAATTATGTACTGCACATAGATGGGAAGAGAGGGAGTGACCAAAACTCAGAAGCTAAACAGACTTCCTCCTCTCCTCTCCTGTTGATAATTAAAAAAGCAAATATTTTCTAAACACTAATATCACTTGACTTGTTATCAGTACTCACCATAGATACTACACCGCCAGTCTACGAAAAAGGAAAAAAAGAGTAACATTCATTAATTTTTGTAGGACAAGCAAAGAATTTCCATTCAGAGATTTCCGAAATATAAGACACTTTATTGGGACAAAAGAAATATGAAGAGCTGTATAGAGACAAGCAATGAAGTTTCTCTGTCCAGGTTCAGCTCGTGCTTGCTCTTTTGCTTTGGTTTAAATCATATTGTCTACTGTCTCATCTAGGGCTCTCCAAATTAATTTGGTTTTCCCAGAAAAAATGGAAGAGAATCATTCTGAAAATCAAGGCAAGTCAGTATTCGTGTATTTTGCAAAAAAAACTATAAGAAGACAGTTCTACAGTAATGAGCTCCCCAAACCTTCCTTGTCTATTCTGGTAGACGCCAGTTCACTAATTATAAGGAATAATTGGAAGATCAAGTAGCAAATCGCTAGCAACTTGGAAGAAAGGAGGATTATGGCTCTAAAACTGGAGATGGCACTCAGACTTGAAAATTGCCACTAGTTTCTATTCTGGATGTTTTTAGGAAAGCTATTTTCATGTGATTACCAGGATTTTACAGTTCCGTGAGTCCTACCCTCCTTTACTATAGGAACAATCCTTGATAGCTCCCATGAGCACTACTGTACAGTACTTTGTAGTGGGAAGGCAAGGTAGTGATGTAAGAAGGAAAATTAAGGAGAAGGATGAAACTTGGGATATCAGTGACAGGGAAATACTAACTAGAGGAAGAGTTCAATTTGTACGGCTTCTTTATACTCCACAATTACAAGGGCTGGGTCTAAACTCGAAAAACCATTTGTTTACAGTGAGGACGAGGTTTTACCTCTGAAATTAAAGTTTGGAATCTCCAGTGAAGACAGGCAGGCTAAGACGCATCAACAGCTAGTACAAAGCCAATTTTAATTGTAAAGTACAGCTGGACCCTTCCTCTTAAAAGCAGAGGACTGGCCCTGATATTCATGGGAATTGATATTTTATAACATTTCTACACAAAGAGCCATAAAGCAACACGTTCCTTATTGGTTCCCTGAACCCCAAGTTTGGATCCTGCTTCTAATTGGACCAAAAATGTCAATTAACTACAACCATTGGTTATACGTGAATATCCGTTGTGCTCCCATGTTCCTCTTGACTTAAGGTCAGAATATACCTGGGGTGTGCAAAGATATTGCCTGAATGTCTGAAGATATATTTTCTCTATTTCTCTTATCTCATTAAGATGTTGATGTTACTCTTTCTGGGCCCGGTATATGGCCTTCAGTGGTGTCAAAATATCTATAGAGCACAGGTTGCTGTCCTCTGAAGATGCCGGCCACAGAGACTGGTGAAACGTTAGGAAGAACAACCTTCAGAACATGGCCAAAGAGCCCGAAAAACCCACAACAGCCAGTATCTATAGGGATTTTCCTCCCTATGCATACCAAAGGCCAAAGGGGATTTAGAGAGGGCTATAGTGAGCCATTTGTCTCCAGAATTGCCCATCTCAGGAAGGGTAGAAACCTCTATTATTACAAGTGGGGCCTGTATGCTATCTCACTGGGATGTTGATTGGGGTGTTGATTTCTCTTATGGCTGGTCTGGCAAGGATCAAGGTGATTGTGGTATGCAGGATTGTAGTCTATCTTCTACAAGACAGACTACAAGAGCACAATAGGGAAAGTTTCATGAGCTAGTTACAAAGCCTTGTTAAAGGAATCATGTCCTTACAACTATACTGATTCAGATACAAGGGTTAGAAGGTATTTTGGTTACATATTACCGAGTCCATGCAATGCTTAAAACCTTTTACAGAGAAATCTAATATCCTTAAGCAATAATTACACATAATTAAACATAATATCGCCTGTCAAAATAGGGTTTCATCTTGTCCCCCTAACAGAGGTACCAAGACTTATAACTACTATGGAAGTGGTGTAAACCAAATGGACCCTCCAATGTTACACAGATCTAGAGCAGAGGTAGAGAAAGGGAACATAGAAAAGGGGGGGGTGGTTGAATATTTTGTGGTGGAGAAATAAAAAAGCAAATGTTTTTCTCCCTTGAAAGACCAAATCAGTTTATGAATACTTACAGGAACACCATCAATCTAAAACAGAGAAAGAAACAGTGATTAGCCTTTTGCGGAGAAAGTAGGGATTTAATTTGCAGCCAGAGACTGCACAGAGACAAGACGCTTAGTCAGGGAAGCAGTGAAGGATCTCAGTCTACGTCCAGCTCATTCCAAAGATAAGGCTTCCTTTTTCTACTTTGATTAAAATCATAGCACCAGCAGACCCATTTAGGCCTTTCTAACTTTTAACCTGATTTTTTTCAGAGGAAATGAAGCTGAATCAGTCTAAAGACAAGTGGCTGCTAATCCTTGTGTCAGGCACATAGATTGGGAGGGCTGCTAATCCCTGTGTAAGGCACATAGATTGGGAGCAAAGGGAGAAACTGAAGCTAATCAGCTAAACAGACTTTCTCCTCTCCTCTGTTCTTCATAAGAAAACAAGCAAATGTTTTCTAAACACCAATATCATTTGACTTGTTGTCCATACTCACCGTAAATGTTACACCACTCTACAAAAAAAGAAACAAAAGGAACACTGGTTATATTTTAATTGCATTTTAATTGTGTTATCTATTTTACTGTAGCAAAATTGTTGTAAGCTGCGAACTTTGGGTAGTTTGGGTAGCATATAGGTTAAATAAAAAAATAAAATAAAAAAATATTCCTTTTTAAAGCAAGCAGACCATTTGCATTCAGAGATTTCCCAAATATAAGAGGCTTCATTAGGATTAAAGAAACTTGCACAGGTGTATTGAAGAAACCTATGAAGTCTCTCTGTTCAGCTTTAATTCTTCCCTGCTCTTTTGCTTTGTCAATCAATCAATCAATCAGACCTTTATTGGCATAGATAAGACAACGTAAAAAAGGAAAATTAAAAGAGGAGTGCAGTTTGCTGGTCTTTGTTGCACAGGATTGTGACATAGTGTAGAAAGGATGCTACGCTCGCAGAAACATCCTGTAAAGAGTCACTCAACATAAAATAAACTTTATCAGCTTCGGAGAGGCCTGATTTGTTTTTTAAAATTGGTTCTAAAAATTGGATACGAGGGGCAGTATACTTGGGACACCCTAATAGGATATGGGAAATTGAATCGATACAGTTTTGTTTGCATGAACAAAGCCTATCTGCGTGGGGGGTCCTTAAAAATCTGCCCGTCAGGACTGCAGATGGCATCACATTAAACCGGGCCAATGAGAACGCCCTCCGGTGCTGGGGGTTACTTAGTGCAGAGAGGTATGAAGCTATATGTCCAAATTTGCAAGGAAGAGACAATTTCACTGGTGAACAAGTCTTGTTAGCCGCATTGTAAAGGTTTTGTTGCTCAATGTCCAGGACTCTTTGTTTAATTATTTGAAACGTTTCAGAAGCAGACAGCATATAGAAGGAGTCCAAGCATAGACCCAAAGCACTAATTTTTTTCTCGATGATGGCAAGCCAGTTGGAGGAGGATGAATCTTGAAGTAGTTGAAAAATGAGACTATTTGGATCAGGGTCGTTATGAAGTCTCAGCCAGTATTTGAAGGTAATCAACCAGGCTCTAGATTCGATTGAAGTCTGTCCGGTTTCCAGGCAAAGAGCAGCGTATGGGACGCAATTAGGCAGCCCTAATATTTTGCGAAGAAATTTTGACTGGATACACTCAATAGAATGGTCGAATGAGCTGATCCATATAGGGCAACCGTATAGAATTTGGGCCTGAACTTTAGCGTTAAAAACCTTTATGGCTGCAGGGATGAATTGGTTGCCAGTATTGTAGAAAAACCGGGAGACTGCAAGGGTGCTGGAAGTGGCTAGATTTGTAACAGAATTACGGTGTTGTGTCCAAAATAAGTTATATTGAAAGTTGATACCAAGGTATTTGAAATGCTTAACCTGTTCTATTGTGTTTCCATTGATTACCCATTTTAAGGGTCGCCAGGATTTGGAGAAAACAAGAATTTTTGATTTTTCGCAGTTTAGTAGAAGCTTGTTTTGGTTAAGATATTCGAGGCACCTAGTGAGTAGGCGTTTCAAACCCACACGGGTGCGGGAAATTAGAACAGCATCATCCGCGTAGAGGAGCAGAGGGACTTGTAGGGAGCCGATTTTAGGAGAGTGAGCATCTATTTCAGCCAGGAAAGGGGCCATATCGTTGAGAAACAGGTTAAATAAAGCGGGCGCTAGGATGCAGCCCTGTTTAACGCCTTTATTAACCGGGATCTTTAATGTTAGTTTTCCAGCGGGGGAACACTTGACTTGGCAAGTTGTAGAAGTATGCAATCTTTTGATGAGGAAGAGCAGTCTTTGGTCAATGTTCAGATTGTATAGTTTGGACCAGAGGAGATCTCTGTCAATAGAATCAAAGGCTCCCTTCAGATCCAGGAAAGCAGTGTAGAGTTTACAATTGGGCTTCTGTGAATATTTGTTGGCCAGATGATAGAGAACTAGACAGTGGTCTGTAGTTGACTTCCCTTTAGTGAACCCAATTTGTTCAGGCCCAAGGATTTTGGACTGTGCCATCCAGGAGGCAAGTTTGGCCATTAGATGCTTTGCATAGAGTTTCCCGATGATGGACAAGAGACTAATTGGCCTATAGTTGGAGGGGAGTGAGCGGTCTCCCTTCTTGAAGATGGGAGTTATAATGGCATTCGTCCATGCTTCTGGCATTAAGCCAGTTTGGTCAGCCATTGAAAAGGTGGAAGCAAGAAGGGGGGCCCAGAAGTCCGAGTCATGCTTTAGCATTTCAGCTGAGATGACATCGGGGCCAGGGGCTTTTCCATTTTTGAGTTGGGAAATTAACTCACGGACTTCGTCTGGTGTGGTCAAGGGCCAGTTGGGTAAGGCGGTCAATGGGGGATCTACAAAGTTTGGAACATCAGTTTGTCTTTCAAAGAACAAGGCTGAGAAGTGTCGAAGCCACTCCAGTGATGAAACTGTGGAAGCCTCTGGATCAGCTTTATGAGAAGACCCAGATACTATAGACCAGAAAAGTTTAGGTTTATTATAAATTGTGGCTTGATATAACTGTTCCCACTGGGAAAATGAAAGGTCTTCTTTCTTTTTCTGGATAAGTTGTTGGAGTTGTTTTTTGAGGTCAAAGTATCTTAGAAGTAGAGATCTGTCATTGGAGTCCCGGTATTGGCGGTAAGTGTCACGGGTGAGACGTTTCAGTTCACGGCACCCCTTGTCTGTCCAGGGAGAACTATAAGGCGTTCTTAGGTTCCTTTGAGATCTTGGACTCTGGATCAAGGAATCAACTATGTGGAGCAGTATAGCCTCGTATCTTTTAATAAATTCGGGGGGGTCGTCAGATGAAGTACAGTGTAGCCGAAGTTCTAGCATGGTGTGGGATTTGATTAGGTTAGAAAATATTTGGATTGAGGCCTCGTTCCAATGGATTTTGCATAGGGCCTCGGTAGATTCAGCAGGGAATTGTTTGGCTAAAAGAGAGCTAGGCTGGTAATGAAGCTTAATTTTCATTGTTAAAGGGACGTGGTCGCTATCTGTACGGTCGCCCACTGCAAAGTCATAAACGTATGGCAGAAAAGAAGAAGAGATCACTATATAGTCGATTACGCTGCAGCCTCTGGGTGACAGGAAAGTGAAATCACCGGAATTGGCGAAGTTCGTTGACCCATTAAGCCATATTCTGTTAAACTGAAAACAGA